CAATTTCATTTCATATCGGAGGTAATTCTGAGTTGAAACAGTTGTCGCGCTCGTTTCCGAAGTAAGTGCGTTTGTTTCCCCAAAAGAAATGACGAAATTGATATTTTCCTCTCCTCAAGTACATAGCGTGAAGGGCAGTTTCACACTTATCAACAGCTCTGATAAAAAAAATTTACACGCATTTTAGCAACTAGAGCATTGGATACCAGAGTCAACGGAGTTTTGCAAGTTAGATGCTTTCCATATGCGTTACCCGCTAGTATTTAAAGGAATGAAGCATGCGTCTGCCTGACAGCATCGAACCGTGCTCCTAAGCCTCCTGGTGTTTATTTCGACAATAAACGTAAGACGGGGATGATCACCTCAAAGCAAGTGGTGACGATTACCGCAATCAGCATTATGTCAATGCCCCCGCTGAGTGAAACATTTGATTGAGATAATTTCTGGGTCATATCATTGAGTTCAATACGTTAGCGCTCTGTTATTACAGTCAGGAAAATAGACCTTCAAAATGAAATTTTGGCGAAGCTTAAAGCCCCTAGAGAAGACGAGAAAGCAAGAGTTTTCCAAGTCCACCAAAGCACCCAAAGTAAACGGAGGCTACAACGCTAACTGAATCGGTATTTTCCTGTTAGTAAACAAATTCCATTTACTTTTTGTGTAAACACTATGTAACCTGCTTCTGTTGTTTGCATATCTTAGCAATCTGGTCATAGCTTGCTGATGTTTATTTAAATAGGCAGCATGTGGAACAAAAGTAATTAATCAATGCCAAAGACATGACCTTTAAGTCTATCCCAAAGCAAAGACTCCATGAGCAGCTTCAAAATTCTATCGTGACCATTAGGCTCAAAAAAAGTGGCTTTAACTCCGACCCACCTTTGTGTTGCTTATGGAATTGATATCCTCCTGATGGGGTGAGCCGAGGACCTCGAGAATCATCTTCAGTTGGTCTATGTCTAAAAGTGGCGTAAGGAGAATTACACAACCTCACTTCTCCTTTGCTCCTACTGAACTTCCTTCAAAAGAGACAAGCACATTTCTGTCCCGTAGAAGAACAAAGAATTTGTAATGACTTGCGTTTTATCAAACTTTTAAACAAATCAATCTAGTCATAAGCCATCAGAAAGTCATTTAATTAGGCCATAGAACTTAAGCCTAATGACACCAAATTAAAATCAAACCAAAATTCAGCACCACTACAATATATTTTTCTTTGTTAAAAAAGGAGGAAATCAGAGACCGACTCCAACTCCCCAACTTCCGTGGTAAGCACGCCCATCCACATGTCTAAAAGTAACAATTTTGCATTATTTGGGTAAGCCCTATACAAGAAGTGAATCAAATGCCTTTTTGATGCCCATATAAGGAATGAGAGGAATTCACCACCAACAATACACCTAAATTCATGCACCATGTCTGTTCAATGTAAATATATTATCCTGCAAAGGCACCACAAGTAAGTAATAGTTAAAAGGTGGTAAATATTTAAGGGATATGCGGATGTTCCTCAAAATTTACCTGACGCACAACAAGTTTTCTATACCGGGCACTTCAGGGCGGCCCATGGCCTACCTAATGGTAGATATTTAGAATAAAAAAGTACCTACACTAGTCAAAATGAGTAGGAAACGTCTAAATGGATGAAAGGATACAATGTTTTCCCGGAAAGAGGACGCGGTTGCTATACATCTCGGCCAAGATGCAACCGACAGACCAGAGGTCGATGGCTTTGGTGTAGACCTTTGACGTGAGCATAATTTCCGGTGCGCGGTACCACCGAGTGGCCACGTACTCCGTCAGCAGCCCAGCCTGATCGCATTGAGGATCAGCAATTCGTGCAAGCCCGAAATCGCATATCTTAGGTAAAATTAAGTTTGGCTTCTTTACAAAACCGCGCCCTCCCTTTAATCAAAACTAACGGCAACGGAAAATCGCTAGTGACCTAGCCAATGGTGCAGCTCAGGAAAGAACCAGGGTTCCTATCGTTACACTTTAACTAAGGTTCATATTTTGAAACCACTACACCCACCAAATTTATCGATTTCAAGAAGAGCTCTAAACAACCTGACTTAGGTCAAGAGGAAAAGTGTTCTAATTGCACAGAACGCTATCATTTAATGAGTGAGCCTATTTGTTTTAAACACAATGTACGACTACAGTGCATATCAGCATCGTGTAAATACGAGCATATGAAGGTTATGCAAGGTTCGAGTGCAACCACTCACAAATAATTGCATCAAATAACTAGATCCAAAGCAATAAACTTACCCTTAGATCACACATTCGATTCAAAAGAATATTACTTGGTTTTAAGTCCCGGTGCAAGACGTTTGCGGAATGAATGTATTTTAAGCCTAAAGTGATTTCAGGATGAATGCCAGGTTACCTCGAAGCATTTGGTAGAGGAAATAACAAGTGTGTTCGCGACTCAACTGTTGTACTTTTAAGAATTTATAAAGATCAGTTTCCATGTATTTTTCCACGATGTAACTAGAAGTTATGAAAGTAATGTCCTTACACCTCCTTCATGTCTTCAAAGCTTGAAGTGGTAAAAACATCATATAGCGGGATAATCTAAAAGTGTTAAAAGGCAAAAGCAAATACATTTTCGTGATCTAGACGGCTAAGGATCCGAATTTCCCGATAGGTGCGTTGGCAATATGTTTGGTGTTCAAATGGTGTAATTCTCTTAATTGCAACCATCTCATTGCGCTGATTATCAAATGCGGAACTACAAAAAGGAATGCCCTAACAAACTCAACTTACATAACCATCCCATAGGCGCCTTCACCGATATAACTAAGGTCCGTGAACCGCGGGCCAATGTCGAACTTTTGGCCTTTGACCATGTACGGATCCGAAATGTCACCACTCATTGGTATAATGTGCTAAAATACCCCCGTTTTTATTCCAGTGTCACTTAATCCGATAGGCTAATTATTGCAAAAGGATGGCACCGCTTGCCTCATTATCGATTCGAGGTCACCGCATAAATAGAGGGCAACTCATTGGTAAGGTAAAACTATTCGCACAGTTATTTTTAAAGCATAATCTAAAGTGATTAAGAATTATAAAAATACGTTTTCTTAAAATCCACTCAAAAATTTTTTAGAGGTAACACTGTGTTGAATTTAATTTAACGTAGTTAGTCAAGAAATAGTTGTTCAATTGGGACTTTTTAGCAGCCCGAGACTTACCACTGGGTGGAAGAAGGCACTGAGTGAAGCAGAATGCATATATTCTAACAAGAGCAAGGAGGTTGTGCCTAAGCTTGGCTCGGCTGCCAGCCCATGCGTGCAAAGACCAGACAAATCTCAAATTAATCGCCAGACATTAGGTGGTCACATAAACAATGTATTGCACTGCACTTCCATTCCTTTGAGTGACGTCCTCGGCGCTATTTCGGTACATCTACCGTGTCAGCCATCGCAACATATTCGATGCTGCAAGAAAACGCCCACAATTGAGTGGCGCCAGTCAGCGGCTTGTATGAGACTGGGGAACGGCACTTGGTCTCCTCAGCTGCCTTAACTAACCGTTGAGTTACA